GGTTTTGGGCGTTGAAGATCATCCCACCTATGGGCTTAGCTTCGGTTCGCCCTACGTCTATCCCTTTTCTTTCCGTAATCTAACTTAGGATCATTCCGTAGGGTAGGCTGAGTCGATTGCTAGATTTGCAAAACTCCATGTGTTTTAACATAATGGCGGGTAAGTTGAATTTGAACTTGGGTTTAAGGAAGTAGGCAAAGGTGCACTCAAGGCTCCCCACATCCTTGCTCTTGTTGTTGTTGTTGGACAACAGGCTGTTCGTCACAATCACGACCAGGAGTTTCTATTCGGCGATTAACAACTTCTTAATTGGCCTCGTGGCGGAGTGAAACTGTCTTCTCTTCCCAACAAATAACTCAGATAGTCTTTGTACCCCACATTTCGGGCACCAATCCATGCCTTTCGGTCATGCTCCTATATGCCCGTGGCGGTCAGTTTTAGGAGTTTGGCCAAGCGGGTCTCAGTTAGTACTATTTCTTTACCCCGGACTTTGGAGGTGATCTCCAGTTTGTCCCCATGCTTGGTAGCTACCAAGTGGTGGTAGAATTCTTTCACCAACTCGGGGTACGTATCGCTCTTTATTTCCAAGTACATTCCAACAAACCTTGAAACTTAAGCATATCAACCAATTCTTGAGAGAATTGATCGGGTTCAAGCGCATTACCTCCTAATACCGTGTACTCGGCATTGTTCTATTCCGAGACTCGGGCATTGGCGGGTCTCCTCGGCATCGTTGGATTTTTTTTTAAAGAGTAGTCACGTTTGGGATTTTTGCTTTTCCGACGGAATTTCCAGTGATTTTTCTAGCGGCTTTTCTGGGGAGCACGGCGAACGGCGGGGCCACGGTGGTTGTTGGCTCGGTTACGGCTCAAGGACGTTGACGGCGGGTGAACGTGGGTCTCGGCTTCACGTCGACTGGAGGGTAGCAACGGTGATGCGGGGACGTGCAGCTGGTTCGCTAAGTGGCCCTCGGTCATGGCTCGGCGGTCCGGGGGCAGCGGGTCTCCGGCGGGGGGTGGCTGGGTGGTGCGGTGGTGATGGGCTGGGCAGTCGATGGGGGTTGGGGGTTCGACCGAGAGGTGAGAGAGGGGGAGAGAAAGAGAGAGAGAAAGGGGCAGATGAAGGGTTTTGATTTTGGGATTTTGGGGTTTTAGGGATTTGGAGTGGGGGTTAAGAAGGCTTTGTTCCCTTTGGGTTTTAAGAAACAATGATGGTTCAATGGTTGATAAGTGCATTTATGTCCATATTTTTACCCCTTGTATAGACATATTTTGAGTGACAAACACTTTGATTTTATGCAAAGAAGTTCCTTAATTCCTTTGTTTATATCTTTTGACGCATAAATTGTAGAGTTGCAGGCAATTGTGTGCTTTTGATGCATTTTGGATGAATTTGGAGTCAATGAGAGCCAAATATGAAGCTATGGAGATGGATGCAACACTTCCAAAGGAGTCTACGGTGGTGCTTTCAATGGTCTTAGTCATTTGGGCAAACCAAAGCAAAAGAGAAGCAAAAGATCAATGCATTGCAATTTCCGACCTGCACGTTGACGTCATAGTCTTTGGACCATATCTCGAGTTAACAATATCCAAATTACGTGATTCTTGTTCAAATAGAAAGAAGACTAAAAGGGCTACAAATCATGTTCAGACATAAAAGCCTAAAAATTAAGCCACAGTGGTCAAAATCATCCATGTGAAGTTCCAAACTTACAGATTTCGTCCAAAACTGACAACTGTTTGGTAATTTGACCATATCTCGGCCTAGGAATGTCCAATTGAAGTGATTTTTGCACCATTCGAAAGAATACTCGAAGGGCTACAACTTTCCTGAAGACAGAAAAGCCTACAAACCGGAGTTCTGTTGTAGAGTAGAGCTCGACGCGTCGAGAATTGGCAGTGAGATCGCATTTTGCATTCTGTAAATCCTCGACGCGTCGAGCCCCCCCGCCTCTGCTCCTTTTTAGCTGATTTTCACTCATTTTTACTCGGTTTTGAACCCCATTCGAACCCTAAATATTTTCTACTCTTTTAGTGTTAGATTAGGCTTAGAATTATGTTTCTTAACACTTTTGAAGCTTGTAATCTTGGATTTGAAGCTTGGATTCCAACATTTTAAGATTCCACCATCCATTTTCAATAGAGAAGCTTTCTTTCCCTTATATATTTTCCTTTGCAATGTTTATGCTTTACACTTATGTTTTTGTGTTCTTTATGCTATTAAATCATGAGTTGTTAGTTTATGAACTTGAGTTAGGGTTGTATTATATATCTTGATGCTTGATTTGTGATTTTTGCATAAAGGAGATTTTTGCCTACCTAGGGTTCTTGAGTATATGAAGGATTTGTGTTTGTATTTTGTTAATGCTTGGTGTACAACATTCATTAACATGTTTGGGAGGATTCTTGGCCTCAATGAGAGTTGGGTAAAGATTCCAAGCCAATCCTTGCAAAAACCCGATTTTTCCTATGAAAATGGGGGAAATTGGGGGTTTGAGATGCTTTGTGTTCTTGAAGAACTTGGAGTTGATTCACCACGAGAGTGGGGAAATTCCTTGTTCTAATCCTTGTTAATTTGCTCACGTGAGTGACTTATAGACTAGGATTCTTTCGTGCACCCCCTCTATTCCTTGGTTGTGTGATTTTCCCCAATCCTTAGGTTGTTCTATGCATCTAGAAGATAATGCTCCCTAGCTTGAGTCATATTTCTTTATTTCGTGTTTACATCTTGTTCATATGTGTTCATGTTATTTTGTTTAGTTACCTTAGTCTTAACTTCGTTATGATTTTCTTAGCTTCTTGTTGGTTTCCTTATGCTAGTGCCTAACTTATTGCGATTGCATATTGCGTGTCATAACCCCCAATTCCCTGAGGACGACATAACACACCCGTACACTCACCATAACTTATTTTTGTTACATCAAAAATTGGCGCCGTTGCCGGGGATTGGCAATTTGGTGGTTCTATGTGATTGCTTGTTTTACTAGCATTAGAGTTTAGGGAATCTTATGAGACTAACCTTTTTCTTTCTTTTTGTTTGTTTTTATTATTTAAAGAGCTAATTGTTTTACCTTGTTTGAGTTTTGGTTGAAAGATCCATACTTTGTGCATACACTCTAGATTCAAAAGGAGGAGCTTTTACCACTCAATCAAGAACTTTCACCATGGATGGGTATGCATTCCAAGAAGGATATTATGATTCTCAATCTTATGGGGGTAACCAACATGATGGATATGGAGATCCTTGCACCACTCAACCTCCACCTCCTAACCATTACTATGATGCTCAATCTCAATATTTTGTCAACCGCAATTCCACCACCAAAACTCATACTCTCAATACAGTCCAAACTTCCAAAATCTTTACCCACCACAATCCTACCAAAACTTACCTTGTCATTCCCAACCCCCATACCATAATCTCTATCCTCAACAAGACCAAGATCCCCAATATTCGTTTAATGATCAATACCCTCAATGTTCACAAAACTACAATCCACCTCAACATCCTTTCCCACCACAAGATTACTCTCCAAATCCATACCCTTCACCCATTCATTACACACCATACCCCCAAGACACTCAACCCCCATATGATCATCACACCCATTCACCAAGTGTTGGAAAGTATGGATCAGATGAGGAGACCTTAGCATTGGCTAGGCGTTGGGGAGTCACTATTGTACCCGTTGTTGACATTGAGGATGAAGGATATCCCATGAGACTAAGTGAGGAAGAATATGCCAATAATCAATGGGAACATCAAGAGCCACTCTATCAAGAACCTCAATAACAATATCAAAACCAATTTCAAGAAGCCCATTACCAAGAACCTCAACAAGAATGCCAACCATTTGATCAAGAATCTGAGATGAAGTTTATGATGGCCAACATGCTTAAGCAAATGAATGAGCAAAAAGTTCAACTAGACAACATGATAGCTCAAATACAAGGTTTGGCAACTCAAGAACCCGTAAAAGAATTGTCTTCCAATGTAGATGTTCTGCAAGAGTTGCTCTTGCCAAATGAAGGTCACGTGGTTGAAGAAAATGAAAAGCGAGGTGAGGACATTGATGGTGAAGATGAAGATGATGAGGCCTATGATGAATGCATTGAGATGGAGACACCAAGTTGGGGAGAAAGTGTAGAGTTGCAAGATAATGGTGATAAGGAGCAACTTCAGAATGGGTCAATGGAGGAAGTGCTAAAGAATGATGAAGTTAATGGAATGTGTGGCACAAAAAAGGAATGCGCTCAATTGGATGACACTCCCATTAATGAAGATTTTAGAATAATTTGGGAACCCGGAGGTGTCAATGTTCTTGAGAGTTTTGGCCCACATTGGCCAATATTTGAATCAAAGGATTGCCACTTCTTATTGGTGCATGAGAAAGACCCAAGACTCTCCTTACTTGCCAATGAAAAGGAAAGTCAAGAAGAGAAAAGAAGTGGAGACCAAGGAAATGATCAAGCTCATGGATACTATCTAGATCCAAAGTTTAGGAAAAAATCATTGGTTGATTTATGGATCAAGAATGGATTTGAGGAAAGATGCATGAAGTTTGGAACGAAGAGAAATGGAATCCTAGCAATTGGAGTGGTGAACTTGATCTTAAAAGAACTTATTGATGGCCACCACTTGAAGTGCTATTTGGAAGAAAATGTTGAAGAAAAAGAAAAAGAGATGAAGATTGAAGAAGAGAGTATATTCTTGGAAGTGGATCATTGTAATTTCTTTGAGAAGAATATGCTACTTTTGAGTTTAAAGGAGTTCCTTAATGCCCGGCATTTAAAGACATTCATTGAAGATAAAGTGGATGGAGAAAAGGGACTCATCTTCATCCAATCATGCATGGATAGTTCTTTGAGAGGTTGAGTCGAGCTAGCGACATTAAACTTAGCGCTTCATGGGAGGCACCCCATGTTATCTTTCATTTTATTGCACTTTACTTTCTTCTTTATTTTTTTTACACTTTTATTTTTGATATATCATGCTCTCACTTGTGCTTATTGTGCTACCTTTTCCCCCTTGTGCTTTATTTTCTTTTACATTGAGGACGATGTAATTGCTAAGTGTGGGGTGGTGGACAAACTATTGGAAAATTTTTGAAATTTTGAAACTTTTTGAAACCTTGCTTGGATGAGTCATTGTGCATAATGTTGGGTAAATTGCTTATCTTTGCTTGAAGTTGTGATCACTCCCTCTTTGTTGGTTTGTGGTTTGATTTGGTGGTGCTTGTTGTGATGCAATTTGTGATTGATGATTTGAGGTATAACACATAATTGATCTATTCTCTTGCCAATTGCCTTGTTAACCACTTAATAAATGAATAATTCATGATCTTGTGTGTTGTGCATTGCTAGTGAAGGCTTTTGTGAGATTCCGGTCATGTTGTTTTGCTAGAACTTGCCTAATTACTCCCCAAGTGAAGCTTAAGATTTGCATGTTTTGAAATGATTTAGGCCATTTTTGTTTAGCCCGAGCATTTCAAGCCAACCCTTTACAAATGTGTTTACCACTAATTGTCCCCGTTGAGCCTTTTGTGTTTGTTTAATAAGTGCTAAGTACTTGTACCTATATTGTGATTGTTTTTTCTTTGTGTTAACCCTCATCATTTAACCCTTAACCCCTAGCCAAAATGATTCCCTCCACCCTTGAGAGAATAAAGCATTTATTCTTTTACTTTGAAGAGATCTTTATTGGAGCTTGTTTTGTTAGCAATCCTCTTGATAATTTTGTCTAAGTGTGGGGGTACTGGTTCATGGAATGAGTTTGTTTATTGTTTTGAAATAAAGAAACGAAAAAAAAAATTGATGTGAAAATTGAGAAAAAAGTCTTGAAAAAGAGATGAAATGAGAAAAATGAAAAGAAAAGGAAGAAGAATAAAAGTTTAATTTGAAGCTTGATTCTAGTTTGTGTTGAAAGTTGTACTCAACCCCCACATCTTTAGAGTGTTGCTTTGTGTTCCATTGTAAATTGCTCCTTAGTTTATAGATGTCATATCTCTTCTAGCCTCAATTGTGAATAGATGTGAAATTCTCTCCTTTGTTTATGTCCATACCCCTTCATTGTTAGCCATTCACCCTTAGCATGGAATCTTGGAGTTGAACTAGTGGGAGTATAAAGGGCAAGCCTATGGAATCTTATTCAAAGCCAAGTTTTGCATAATCTCAACTTAGTATTGTGCACACTTGATCCTCACACACTTTAATAATTTTGGTGCTTGGTTATTGGCTTGAGAATGGAACTTGTGTGGAATGCAAAAACGATTCTTGAAAAAAGTTGTGTTGTAACAAGTTGGATTGTGGTTTGATAGGTTGTGCAAAGTGGAAGTGTGATCAATTTCATTTCTAGGATGGTGATTTATTTCTTGTTTTTGCTTGAGGACAAGCAAAGGTTTAAGTGTGGGTGAGTTGATAAGTGCATTTATGTCTATATTTTAACCCCTTGTATAGACATATTTTGAGTGACAAACACTTTGATTTTATGAAAGAAGTGCCTTGATTCCTTTGTTTATATCTTTTGATGCATAAATTGTAGACTTGCAGGAAATTGTGTGCTTTTGAGGCATTTTGGATGAATTTGGAGTCAATGAGAGCCAAATATGAAGCTATGGAGATGGATGCAACACTTCCAAAGGAGTCTACGGTGGTGTTTTCAATGATCTTAGTCATTTGGGCAAACCAAAGCAAAAGATCAATGCATTGCAATTCCCGACGTCATAGTCTTTGGACCATATCTAGAGCTAAAAATATCCAAATTACGTGATTCTTGTCCCAATGGAAAGAAGACTAAAAGGGCTATAACTCATATTCAGACATCAAAGCCTAAAAAGGAAGCCACAGTGGTCAAAATCATCCTTGAAGTTGAAGTTCCGAACTTACAGATTTCGTCCAAACCTGACAACTGTTTGGTAATTTGACCATATCTCGGCCTAGAAATGTCCAATTGAAGTGATTCTTACGCCATTCGAAAGAAGACCCGAAGGGCTACAACTCTTTTAAATAGAGAAAAGCCAAATTCTGAAGAAATGAGGGTCAAAATCATCCTACAAACTGGAGTTCTGTTGCAGAGTACAGCTCGACGCGTCGAGAATTGGCAGTGAGATCGCATTTTGCATTCTGTAAATGCTCGACGCGTCGAGCTCCCCGCCTCTGCTACTTTTTAGCTGATTTTTCAGTCATTTTTACTCGGTTTTGAACCCCATTCGAACCCTAAATATTTTCTACTCTTTCCTTTCATATTTTAGTGTTAGATTAGGCTAAGAATTATGTTTCTTACCACTTTTGAAGCTTGTAATCATGGATTTGAAGCTTGGATTCCAACATTTCAAGATTCCACCATCCATTTTCAATAGAGAAGCTTTCTTTCCCTTATATCTTTTCCTTTGCAACGTTTATGCTTTACACTTATGTTTTTGTGTTCTTTATGCTATTAAACCATGAGTAGTTAGTTTATGAACTTGAGTTAGGGTTGTATTATATATCTTGATGCTTGATTTGTGATTTTTGCATAAAGGAGATTTTTGCCTACCTAGGGTTTTTGAGTATATGAAGGATTTGTGTTTGTATTTTGTTAATGCTTGGTGTACAACATTCATTAACATGTTTGGGAGGATTCTTGGCCTCAATGAGAGTTGGGTAAAGATTCCAAGTCAATCCTTGCATAAACCCGATTTTTCCTATGAAAATGGGGGAAATTGGGGGTTTAGATGCTTTGTGTTCTTGAAGAACTTGGAGTTGATTCACCACGAGAGTGGGGAAATTCCTTGTTCTAATCCTTGTTAATTTGCTCACGTGAGTGACTTATAGACTAGGATTCCTACGTGCACCACCTCTATTCCTTGGTTGTATGATTTTCCCCAATCCTTAGGTTGTTCTATGCATCTAGAAGATAATGCTCCCTAGCTTGGGTCAAATTTCTTTATTTCGTGTTTACATCTTGTTCATATGTGTTCATGTTATTTTGTTTAGTTACCGTATTGCGATTGCATATTGCGTGTCATAACCCCCAATCCCCTGAGGAGGACATAACACACCTGTACACTCACCATCACTTATTTTTGCTACATCAATGGTTAAGGCAATAGTTTGGGAGTGGGAGGTCCATGGCACAAATTAGTTTCTAATTAGCCTGAGGGGCGGAGTAAGAGAATTAAACTGATCGAACTAATTAATAAATTTTATTAAAAATACGGGGTTCCTAAGTAATTGAACTATGTAGGCGGTCTTACGATAAAAAAAGGGGTAGTTTACAAGGATTCACATCTCTCTATCCTAGATAGAATTCTCCTTTCCGATTTTCTTCCAATTGATTCATAGGGTCCTCGTCTCCCAAGGCTACGTCTCCGGTGCCGATTCCAGCCTCGGCTTCAGCTTCAATGCCGGCTTGGGTGCGACTGATGACGAACGCCTTCCCGGGTGCTCCATAGCTTCCCCGGTTGTTCGTATTCCCTGTTGCATTGTGATCGAGGTTCTCGTGCTTGTGGGTTGGTTGCATTGGAAGGCTTTGTGACCTCTTTCCCCGCAATTGTAGCATCGTAAGGTGTTCCCTTGGTAATCCTCTCCTGATGCTCCTTGCCACACCTCCTACAAGTTAATTGTGTTTCGCTAGCCTCGTTGTATTTTGTCGGTTGTCCTTGGATTGGTGAGTTGGCCGCTCTAGCGTTGGAATTGTTTTTCACCCTCTTTAAGTTGGCAATCCTTTTGGCATCTCTTTAGGGAATAAATCTGAAAAATCAGCAAGCAATTCATCAATAGAGGCATTACGAAAACAAGATTCAGAGTGTAACACAAGAGAAGAATCAAGATCAGTGGTAAGCTTATGAATGAAAAGTAAGTTAAACGTGTCTCCCCTTCTTATTGCCTTCTTAATGTCATTTTTTGTTGCAAGAAGAGAGGGCTGATGTGGTGATTCCTTTGCTGGGTTTTGAGATGAAAATGGCGTGGAAAGGGATATTGGAGGAGGTGGAGGCTTTGATTTTGGATAGGGGGAATATGGCACTGATTTCGCCTCTTTTGATGCCTTCCTTGATTTCAATAGTATTTCTTCCACCTGTTTAGGAGTCAAAGGAGACAAGACATATCTAACTCCATCCATGTGAAACACATAAGTGTTCATCATTCCATCAAAAGTGATTTTTCTATCAAATTGCCACGGTCTACCTAACAGCACATGAGCAGCCTGCATTGGGACAATATCACACAAAATTTCATCAGAGTAATTGTTAATAGATAAAGGAATAAGAGCCTGCTTTGTTACTCTAACTTCTCCTGCATCGGTTAACCATTGCAAACGATATGGATTAGGGTGATCAAGCAAAGGTAATTGAAGAAATTTAACCATAGCTGCACTAGCCACATTTGTGCAACTTCCAGAATCTATTATCACAGTACAAGAATTCCCTCTAATTGACCCTTTAGCATAAAATATATTTTCTCTTTGAGACTCATCTTCTTTTAAAGGATGAACATTCAAAACCTTCTTAACAACAAGAGTATGAACAGACTCACTATCAGCATACCCCTTAAAAGATGTAGCAACTAGCCTAATTTTTGTAACATCAGAATAGTGTTTTAAATCAAAAAGTGTTTCAACAGCATTCTCCCATTCTATATACTCTGTTGGTCCATTCTCACCAGAGAAGTTAGGAATTTCAAGTTTAATGTTTCCTAACTCCTCATTAGGCTGTTGGATCCTTTGACATCTAGGATCCACTCTCCCTGCTGGTGGCAGTGGTCGCTCATCATTGTGTGGTGGTTGCACTTGCTGTGAGCGTTGCTCCAGATTAGTCATTCGTGTGAGTAACCCGTCCATGGCGAAGGTTAGAGCATCTATTTTTTCTTCCACCTTGAGGGAAAAAAAATTCTAAACAAAAAGATGTGTGAGTAGACACGTTAGTGAAACCAAAAAGTTGGCTCGCTCCCTCACTTATTCTCAGCTCGCAGGTAAGAGGTGGATTATATAGCTCTGGGGGTGCAATACACACTCTTACAAACACACACTCCACTCGTGTATCGCTCAAGGTGGCAGATACTCTCACCAGCCTTTTTCCAAAAAGGAAAATTCTAGTCCGGTACTCAAGTTGATATGGATTCAACCTCAAAGTTCAAGAAAACGTACCTTGGAAGACTTCACAAGCCTTTGAGGGTAAGGGTGTATCGCGAGATCAGTAATAAAATTGAGATCAAGAAGCAAAGAAAAAGGACAATACGAGCAAAGAAACTAAATAAGATTTGAAAGAAAAAGGAAACCAAAGAAGGAAGTATGGCAGAAAGATATGCAAGACCAATATCAAAAGATAGAGACAAATAGAATATAAAAGGGGTTCACGTGTACCACAGCCAATTAGGAATCTATCAAGAACTCCTTCCAACCTTATACTTTTCCCCTTCCTTTTCCCACCAAGATTCTCCTACCAACCTTATTCTTTCCCCAACCTTATTCTTCTTCTTCTTCTTTTGCTTTCTCTTTTTTTTTTTTTTTTTTTTTTTTTTTTTTTTTTAATAAGAAACCTCCAAATAACCACTGTAAATATCAACAAAAATTTCGGACCAAGAGGATCCACACAACCCCTTCAAAACAGAATCAAGAATTTCAAGAATCGCCTAGAAAAACAGAAAAAATTCCCTGACTTTGAAGATCAATATATCAAAAGAACGCCCCAGAAGAGATCTACAACATATCCAAATTTCAGATAAAATTAACCAGTGGATCTCGAGATATAGGTAATTCTTTGAAACTGGTCACAGCTCGCGGAAATCTGGACAGGGTGTGATTGAGACGTGATTGCGCGTAAATGCGCTTTGGATATAGGTAAGGGTAAGATGGGGTTGTTTTCTTGACAGAATATGTGGTAGTATGGTGTTTAGGAGGTGTGAGGTCTCATTGATATTGGACGGGAAAAAGGGAAAACACTTTCGGGATTGTTTTTCAAGAAACTGGAGAACATGTATCAAGATTCAAGAACACAATCAAGAATGCAAAAGAAATTTTTTTTTGGGGTTTTTTTAATGAATAAGACACGAATAAATGTAGTATGTAAGATAAGAACGAGATAAACCTAGGGAACCAAAGAAACCAAATTTCCAATGATAACGAGACAAACCTAGGCTCTGAATACCAAATTGATATGAATCTAGTCCAAGATTCAAATAAGATGAGTATTGTCCCAAGAATTGCTCTCAATGTAAAGATAGAGATGGATCGAAATACCTTAAACCTCACGAGAAACCCTTTGTCTCGAATCCTCAAAGACTTGGAAGAATCCCATTGTAGCTTCAAGTACTAGAGTCGGATCTAGTTTCCTTCGATTCAAGAACGAGTCCACGAACCTAAATCTAAGGTTGAAGAAAGTAAGATTGATTCGAGTCCACGAATCAATTTGCTAGTCGAGTCCACGACTAGTACTAATTGAGTCCACAATTAGCTATAAGGTTTCTTACACAAGTGTAAAGAAAAACTTAAGAATTTTATTGAATTAAAGTCTGCCCAAAACTGATATGGATGTGCCCTATTTATAGGTATAGGGCAGCATTGTAATCTAAATACAATGGGAAAAAGAGTCCTAAACCTAATCTAGAAAACAAGTAAATAGAGTTTTATTTAGAAAAGGTTTTAAGGAATCCTTTCTAAATACAACTAGTGTTTTCTCTTTTATACCAAACAATTTAAATTAATGATGACCAAAAATAATAGGGCTGATTTGGGCCTAATTTAATCACCAAAATCAGCACTTAAACAATTATAAAAAGCCTTGAGTTCTTCGCCATCATTTGCAATTGGGCTTGAATTGGATTTCCACCATCTTTGAACATAACCAATAAAGAGTTGTCTTAATTGTTTGGACTTAGACCTTGTGATTGGCCCAACTGGTACTCTTAATGGATCTTCAGTAGTTTGGGTTGCATTACCAACTCGGGTGCGAAACGGGCCAGTTCTAGGAATCGCTTATGGTATTCCACCACCGTAGCGATTCCCTGTTTCAAGTGGAGGAATTCCTCGTACATGGCTACTCTTATGTGTGTGGGGTAAAGGCGTTCCTGCAACCGGATCTTTAAGGTCTCCCAGTTGAAACCAGGTTCCAATCTACAGGTAGGTCCTTCATGAACCCACCATAGATCGACCTCATGTCCAAAGTAGAATGAGGCCAGCTCGACGCGGCGTTCCTTCGGGCATTCCACTACCTTAAAGATTTTGTCGAACGCTCGGATCCATTCCTCGAGTGTTGTAGGATCTTCTTCCCCCGCGATAATAGGTGGGCGAGGGTTTGACACTTGGCGAGCCACATCATGCTTCTAGTTCGAGGGTGGTCAGTTTTTATTGTTAAGGATGGCGTTGCTCAGTGTCTGGGCGACCTGAGTTAACTGTTGTAGATTCTGGGTTAGCTGATCATGGGTAGGGGGCTACGGGGTCCTGGCCTGGTTTCTCGATAGTGCCATTCCGGGTTCTACAGTGTGAACATCGGTCTAAGTGTAAGTCAGGGGCTCGCACCCTTACCTTTGTGCTTTAATTACAAGAACTTTAAACTATACAAAGAGTATATTAAAGGAAAATTTCGCAGGAAGTGGTAAATAAACTCACAATCTCACCGCGTATCCTAAAATTCTTAAGTCCTACGTATCTAAGCTTCTAGAGTTCAAGCTTAACGTCCTAAAGTCTTTTCTTAAGGCCTTACCCTCGGGTCGAACTTAGGCTCTGATACCAACTATAATGCCCCTAATTTTTAAAACTTTTAAACTTATGAAATAAAGGCAATCTAACATTAATATCCCAAACAGAGCGGAGACTACACAATAAAAGCCGAGGTGCTACGCCACATCTAAGCTTGAGAACTTAGATGCACAGGCTAACTAACTAAATAGAACATAATCCACGTTTAATATCCAAAATAAGAATCAAGGCACGCAGGCCATCAACCAAGACTATCTAAGCTAGGTCCTTGTGTCCATCTAGCGCACTCCGAAGCTACTAATCTGCACCTGAAAAATAGGCGGTGTAACAACCGTTAGTGAATAATGCTGGTAACCCACTCCCACGCGTTGAGTACAATATAGGTAGATATAAGAAAATCATTTTGAGACTGGAATACATATATAATCATAGGCAACGCTAGCTTTAAAACCAAGATCAAGATTCGGGACACGGCAAACAGACTGGAAACCATAAAACAACATATGGATACTAGCATGCAACCTAAAACCACACGATAGGACAGTAGCAAGGCTCAGCAACAAACAAGACAATAATAAGGCTCGACAACAATAACAGACAATGATGACACGCATGTCCAAGTTCCAACCTTACACCAAGTTCCAACCTTCTGTAACACCCCCATTTTCAATACTAAATTTTCCTTAATTTTAATTTCTTTCTTAATTGCAAATTTACAAAATCATAGCGGAAGCATTAACTAACCAAAAGAAAATGGGTGTTACCGCCACACTTAGGCAACCAACAACCTAAGTGCTAAGGCTAAATTTACAACTTGCAATAAACAACTCAAGATATGTACTAGTACAAAAACAACTACAATTCAACTGTCTAACAAATAAATGGTATCTCTACGTGGTTCACTCATTCTCATGTCCAATGCTCATGCAAGAGTTCCTGCAAAAACAATTAAAGAATAGAAAACAAAGAAACACACAAATTCAGCATAAAGCTTGCAAGATCTACTTCACCCCGTAAAACATTTTGCACATAGCATGTAACACATAGGAAAAGATAGTTTGCATCTAAAATGACCCTTTAAACAATTTTATTTTCATCAACAAACCAATAATCTTTAACTTTAACCATTTATAATATATATTGAGGAAATCACATGCACATCCAAATACAAAAATATCCATAACAACTTCTAACAAATCGACTAAGGCATTGCCTATCCATAATCCAAAATCATTAAACCATTATTCTTTCCTCAAGATTCCCATATAACCTTTATCAACACTTCCATACACCCATAACCTCAAAATATTTCATAGCATCCTCATTACTCAATTCCTTAAATCATAATCATAATATAATCACCAAAATAATTTCCAATAATAACCAAATAGAGTTTCCAAACTCTCAAAATAATAACCAAAGAGATAATTTCAATCTCTCAACATAACCTCAAAATAGTATTACCAAAGAGAGAATTCCAATCTCTCAATTTATCTCTTTCCAAGAGAACATCTTCCAATAATACATTTAAATATCTCAAAATCAATCACACTTGATATATATAAATTGCCAAGAAGAAATGGGTACCAAATGGAGGATTTTTAAATTCTCAAAAAATAGATTTTCATAAACAGGGAGTTTTCACGGCTCCCTAGTGAGTCAGGTTTTACATCACTGCTCACTCCTCAAAACAACAGGGAAGTTAATATAAAACCCCCTAGTGAGTCAGTATATCTCAACTGCTCACTCCACAAAACAGAGAGTTTTTAGGCTCCCTAGTGAGTCGGTATTTTCCAACCGCTCACTCCACAGAAACACCACACCAGATGGCACCACTTTCCATTGACAAAATATATATATCTAAAACCTCAAGAGTTCACCAATTAAAGCAAAATCTTTCCACCCAAATAATACTTTCAACTTTACACCTGAATCTATAACCTTTGTACCAATATTTCCAAAAATGTATTTCCAAACATCCTATTAACCTCATAGATATAACCTCATAGATATAACACAGATTAGCGTATTCCACACCTAATTATTATGAACACAACTCTCCATATTTATAAGAATGATAAAAGTAATGATATTTCACAAGCAAGCAAACTTCTCAATATCTAAAATAAGAAACTGACAAAAATTTTCAGAAACTATGACCTGAATTGCAGAATTTACTGAGAAAAATCGGTAACAAATTTTCATATGAAATTCTCCAGATATGTATTACAAAGAGTGTAGACTACACAAAAAAAGTTTCAAGCCATTCCAAGGCCTAGAAGTATTTTTCCCGAAATATTTCCCAACACAGCGCCAGACTGTAATTTAATTGGCAGAACACTGCCTCAACTTTACGAAACTATTCTGGAAAAACCTAAACATATTTTTAATCAAAACTTTTTACAAACATTAATTATATCAAGTCTAGATTCTCCAGAAAAATTCTCAAGCAAAAATAAGTTTAGCAAGCATTTTTCACGAATTTTTCTTTCCAGATGCGCCAGTCCGAATTTTCTCAGGCAATGATCAAATTGTGTAAAATTTATCCTTCTTAATCACCACAAAATCACCATATCACATATGCAGGGTTTTTAAAACATCTAAACACATATATCTATTTGCATAATATAATCAAATAACTTTTCACGTTAAATATCACATATTCATTAAAATCATGAATCACATAAACACATAGGAAAAGTGATTTTTGATTTGGGGCAAAAGAAATTTTAGTGAACATAAATCTTACCTGGAATCTAAAATCAACACAATGCTTGAATTCCTACGATGAACAGAGAAGAGAAGTGTAACACCCCTGATTTTCAAGATATTTAAAACTTAATAATAAAGGTAACATCTCATTAAATCCCAAAGCGTAACATAAGAGTACGGGGTGCTATGCCACACCTGGGCTAGAGAACCCAGGTGCACAGGCTGTCTAACTACTATCCTCTGAAATGTAAAGGCATAACATGGCACGCAGGCCGAAAGGGAAACTATACTACTTCTACGCTCCAGTTCTAGCGCGCTCCAGTGCTCTAATCCTCTGTGCCTGAAAGCCAAATATATCTGTTCAGCGAGAGATGCTGGTAACCCACTCCAACGCGTTGAAATACAATACATATAGAGATATATATATAGATATACGAAAACCATTGTGAGCATGAAGATATATCATACGAACTCTAGCTTTTAAAACCGGGAATGACTCGACAGATAAGGTCAGATGCAAGCAATGGTTATAACAGTCATATGCAGTTCACAATAGATAAGGCAGATAAGGCAAGGCATAAACAATAATCACCACCCATCATAAACAATCCCCAATATAAATCCCATAGTCACATCCCAAGACACACATAATCACAATCTCGCCCATATCACACACATAACGCACATTGTTGGCGCCACAGGACCGATCGCATGCCCATACATGAGGGTCAGCGCATATAGCTCTGACACAGCCCCGCAACACCATGCCCCGTATCGCAACACGGGGAGGTCGATCGCAACCGACCGATGAACCGCAGCTCATCATAATGTTTGATCGCAACCAAACAGTGGACCGCAGCCCAAGAGAGTGTGTCATCTGACTGTAGCCAGGAATTCCCATCTGACTACAGCCAGCCTCTGAACCGCAGCTCAGGAAAATGTCATCTGATTGCAGCCAAGAATTCCCATCTGACTACAACCAGCTTCTGCACCGCAGCCCAGGATACCGTCATCCGACTGCAGCCAGGAATTCCCATCTGACTGTAGCCGGCTTCTGAACCGCAGCTCAGGATAACCAATTCGATCGCAACCGAATTGGGGCAACACGCACACATAACACATAGCAAGCACATGCAACCCACATTACACATTGGGAAGGGGGATAAAGCGTATAACAACCTTATGCGTGATTCATCACGTACTAAGAATAGTCCTAAGGGGATCATACTTCTTCCTCCTAGGTCAACGGGATACCAATTCAACTAGCATGCAATATAATAGACTCATAAACCTACGAACGGTACCCTAAATATCAAACTAGACATAGGCACGACAAACGGGGTCCGTTGGGACACCTCGGGGATCGGGGAAACATCAAACGGGGAAGCCGGGGTCCCGAGGGGGGACAAATTCCAGCGGGTAGCCGGTGGGTGGTGGGCCACCCGCCGGCCACCCGCCAGTTTCTACTGTTCCGGGCAGCGGGTCGCCGGCGGGCGGCACCGCTGCCAGGCGGTGGTTTACGGCTATGGGTAGGTGGCGGGTCCCCTACCCCCCCACCTACCCCCCACTGACTCTTTTCACACAATAACGTCCCGGGAACCTTTGTGGAACCCGAAACCATGCTTAGATACTTTACAACGCAATTACGACAACACATAGGCAATTAACGGATCAAATACGAGAAACGAATGGCACATAACCTATCATGCTTTTCTAAACATAATCAACACCCAAACATGCGAATTCCCACCCGATAATCCAAGAATAAGATCATACGATACAACCTAGGGTTCTAATCACTTTTATATTAACAAGAATACGATTCATCTTCTAATTGCAAGATTCAGTAAGACTAACACACAAACATCAAGGATGTCAATTAATCATCAAGAACATCATAATCATCAAGAACAACACATAATCATCAAAATCCCAATTAATCATCAAGAACATCATAATTATCAAGAATCTCTCAATATCAAGATTACCAAGATTCCTCATGGAATCATTATATCAATCATTAATAATAATCATCACCAATCATTAATACACAATAATATGGGGAAACCCTAAGGGGGAATCATAACTATGAAAATAGGTTTTGTTGAGACATGGGTTACCTCTTAGCCTTAATTAATTCCTTGGCTATGAAGGATCTTTTTTTAAGCTTTCTTGCTTTCTTGATTTCTTCTAAGGGAATTCTTGGAGCTCTCCTGGGGTGGTGGGGCGTCTAGGCGTGTCGGGTTCTAGGTGCCTCTTAAGTCCCCTATTTATATATTTAGGAGTCCTGGTTAGGAACTAATATTATAGGCTTGCTAATTCTATTCCTTTTGGGACTAAGGATTGGGTTTAGGGATAAGGGTCCATGTTAATTAAAGCGGATCCTAATCACAATCTGAATAGTAAAAGGTTTACTATCTTTATTCCTAATAGGCTTAAGCCTCTAATTTAGGCAAGGGTCCACGGTTCATGGTGGACCCTATTAATCAATTAAAGGGAAACTTAGCATAATTAATCATATTTAATTATTTTTAGCGGAATTAATTAAATAATTAATCCAGGATTAAAGGCCGTAACACGGGGTGTCACACTCTCCCCCCCTTACAGGGGCTTCGTCCCCGAAGCTCGGTGTTATAGTCCACCCTTTCACCCCTAGACATCTCGTAGTTCGGCCTCCTGGGTAGGAGTGTGGCCCTACGTTTGTCTTAGTTTGGGGTAGACTGTACTTTTGGTGGCGTTGTGATAGAGAAGTTATGAGTGTACCTCGGTTTCCTGCGCTGGAACTGGGCGCCCCACGAGTGCCCAAGGCGGCCTCGATTGCTGCCACCCTCTGATCGAGTGCGCGTGTGGTGCGAATCAAGGATGAGAACCCTTCTTCCATGATTTGGTTTTGCCGGTTGAGCTGTGCGAGAATGCGCTCATTGACCGAGTTCTCGTTTTGATCCCTCGGGTCCCTTCCGGATCGTGGTTGCACTGTCAGGTCGGGCCCGTCATCCTCCTCCTGTTCCTCATTTTCTTCCGTGCCTCCGCAATCTTGCATGGCCCGCTTGAGCTTTTTGTTGGAGATGTCCAACCGATCAACCAACTCCCTACGTTCCTCCTCGGGTTTTTGGCAAATTTCTTCGAGGGTGAGATAGTGTCCTCCCTCGGTGTAGTAGATGTCGTTGCGGCGGAGGTTTTGGGCATTGAAAACCATGCCGTTGGCGGTTTTGACCTCGGTGTGGCTTAGGTCCACCCCCTTTTTCTCCATGATCCAACTTAGGATCATACCGTAGGGTAGGCTAAGCCGGTTGTTTGTTTTGCAGAACTCTATGTGCTTTAGCATGAGTGCCGGCAGGTTGAACTTGATTTTATGTTTTAGGAGATACGCAAAGGTGCACTCCAAGCTTCCCACATCCTTGCTCTTGTTATTGGTGGGCAAGAGGCTATCGGTTATAATCATAACCAATATCTTTTGCTCCGCCGATAGCCATTTCCGGTTTGGTCGGGTGGCCGAGGTGAACCCATCCTCTTTCCCGAGTAAATACCCGAGATAGTCCTTGTACCCCGTAGTTTGGGTGCTAATCCACCCCTTTCGGTCATAGTCGGACACACCTGTGGTGGTCAATTTTAAGAGCTTGGCCAAGCGGCCGTCGGAAAGCACAATTTCCTTGCCGCGGACTTTGGTGGTGATTTCTACCTTGTCACCCCGTTTGGTGGCTACAAGGTGTTGATAGAACTCCTTCACCAATTCGGGGTACGTATCCCCTTTGATGGTGAGGTACGTATCTAAAAGCCCTTGATGTTTAAGCATGTCAACCAATTCCGGAGAGAATTGGTCGGGTTCGAGTGCTTTACCTCCGATTACGGTGTAATCGGCATTGTTCCACTCCGGGGTGCGGATTCCGAGAGGCTTCTTTGGCATGATGACGATCGTGTGTTGGTGGCGTTTTTCCGGCGAGCTTTTCCGGTACGGCGGCGACGGCGGGTTTCCGGTGAGCTTTTCCGGCGGTGGTTTTTCGCTCGTTTTCACGGAGAGCGCCGGCGGGTGGTGGTTCCGACGTAGATTCGGCGAGGAGGGGGTGACGGTGTACCGGTGGCGGTAGCAGTCTCCACGGTGGCGTCGAGTGGTGGTGGCAGCGGGTTGGAGCTGGGCACCCACCGGGCGGAGGGAGGCGACCGGCTCCGGGCGGCGTAGCGGCGTCGTGGACTGGCGGTCGTGCGTCGGCCGGCGGCGGCGTGCGGCTGGGGCGGCGTCGCGGGTTGTGGTGTGTCTAAGGTGGTCGGCCGGCGAGGTTTTTTTTTTTTTTAGGGGGAGGGGTCGTGAGAGAGAAAGAGAGGGGTTGGGTGATTTGGGGAAGAAGGAGGAGGGTTTATGATTTGGGGATTTTATGGGTTTTAGGGATTTAGAAGGGTTTATTAAGAGGGTGTTCCCTTGTGGTTTCAAGAAGCACACATGGGCTAGTGGTTAAGGGTTTGGACTTGTAAATGGGAGGTCTAGAG